AACCACAATGAGATATCATCTCACCCCAGTTAGAATGGCTTTTATCAAAAAGACAGAAATATTTAGCTGAGTGTGCTGGTGGCACCTGTAGTCCCTGCTAATCAGGAGGCTGAGGTAGCTCCTTGAGCTCAGGAGTTCGATGTTGCAGTCAGCTATGATTGTGCCACTACACTCCAGCCTGGGTGACAGAGTGAAACCCAGACTATAAACAAAATTTTTTAAAGACAAAAAATAACAAATGCTGGTGAAGATGTGGAGAAAAGAGAAGTCATATACACTGTTGGTGGGAATGTAAATTAGTACAGCCATTATGGAAAATAGTATGGAGTTTGCTCAAAAAAATAAAATATAACATCAAAAGTTATTAATAAGACACTTCACATTCTTTTTGTACTGAATCCTCAAAATGTGATGTGCATTTTATACTTACAGCACACTTTAATTCAGCCTAGCCACGATTCCAGAGCTCAATAGCTGTATGGAGCTCACAGCTATCGTATTGAGTAGCACAGGTTTAGGGCAGTGTTTCTTAACCTCAGCACTACTGACATTTTCGACCTGATAATTCTCTGTTGTGAGGTGCCCTGTGCATTGTAGGGTAATTAGCTGTATCCCTGGCCTCCACCCTCTGTCAGTATCACCCCTCCCCCAGTTGTTGGCAACCAAAAATGTCTGCAGACATTGCCAAATGTCCTGGTGGGGCTGGGGCAAAATTGTCCCCAGTTGGGAACCAAAGGTCTAGAAAAACGGAAGAAAAATACATGTTTGGAAAGAATCTTAGGATCATCTGAGAGAGAATTTTCATTTTAGAAGCTAATATTATTATAGTCACTGAACCATGACAGTTAATACTTACAATAATTATAATGAAGCTAATATAACTATAGTCACTGAACCATGACAGTAATACTTACAATAATTATAAGTCTATCCAGTTCCCATGTTCTAAATTCACCCAGGAGAGGAAGGGAAAAGAGGAGGGGAGGAAGAAAGGCAGAAGGGGAGAGAGATGGGAAGGAGGAGGAGGAGATAAGAAAAAAGGAAGAGAAAGCTCTTTTTATACATCTTTGTGCTTATATGGGGCCCCTATCCACAGAAAAATATATTGATCCAAAATTGAGGCCACCTGATGGCTGGCATGTACATGTCATTATTTCAAAAACTCTTTAAGATCTTGACTTTGAAAATAAGCCAATGCTTGGGTTGCAACATGCATCAGACAGTGCCTATGGGCTCAGGTTGTTTGGGTTACCCAGTGTTGCTCAATCCTGGAACTGCTTATCTGAAGAAAAGCATTTCATATCAGAAGTGATGGTCAATGGATCCCAACATCTGGGTAAGCTAATCTCTTCCAAAGTCTCTCTTATCAACCAAGACCTCAGTAACTGGAAGCCTCAATCAACTGTCATGTTTTTGAAGTATTTAGTTTTCTCTGTGTGTATGTATGTATGTGTGTGTGTGTGTGTGTATATATATAATATTATAATCAGGCTTCACACACACACATACATATACATAGCACACACACACAAGAGAGAATCAAAATTATAGGAGAAATTTATTCAAGAAGGAAAATGGGGCAGAAGTGAGGACTAAATCAGGAACATGTCTTAGAACATTCATTATAATCTTATCCACCTGAATTTACATGTTCTACATGATATGTTGACCCTTAGGTATGGGAAGATCCTGAATCATCAAAAAATAGCCTATCATTTTCACTCTACTTCATGGTTTTAAGGTTTTCTTAACAAAAGAAGTAAAAACCAAAAGTTTCTAATTGTCCTTCGAGTGGTAAGAACATTAAATTACCCAGAGTTTCCACTCCTCAAGTATTCCCGATTATCAGGGATTGACTCTAACTGGCTGACGTGTTTGAAGATATTGAGAGTCTAGCACTACACACTTACACTAGTACCCTGGGTACAACAGACAACAACCTATTCCAAGGATTTTTTCAGGAGCAGTTGGGATATTGGTATAGGAGATCTTTCGAGTGGCTCTGCAGACATAGCTGTGACAGCTGATGACACCTTCATGCCGGCCAGGCACTTCCGGACACAGAGGCGCAAGAGCTGGGAAAGAGTAGCCGGCCTGTAGGAGGAATAAAATGGTGTAACTTCATATGGTGGGGTGGGTGGTGGGTAGAAATGGGAGATCAGAAACTGGAAGAGGCCAAAACTTTTATAATTTTTTTTCAAGCAGTGTAAAGTCTTTGGAAGAGCAGGTATGGAAACAGATTCAAGTGGAAGACATTTAATCTGGGAGGCCGAACATCAGAGTCATTCCTAAAAGGACATTAAGAGTGATCACTTGTGTAGAGACGGACATACAGACAATGGAATAGAATGAGAGCCCAGAATAAGCCTCACATATATGGTCAAATGATTTTTGGGTTTTTCTTTTCAGCATATTATGGGGTACAAATGTTAAGGTTACATATATTGCCCTTGTCCCCCTCCCCCTCAAGTCAGAGCTTCAAGCGTGTCCATCCCCCAGATGGTGCACATCGCACCTCATTATGTGTGTATATACCCATCCCTCCCCCCCACCCTGCTCAACACCCGATAATGTATCCTGTATGTCTACTTAGGTGTGATCACTATTAATTTCTAATTTGCTAGTGAGTACCATGTGGTGCTTATTTTTTCAATTCTTGGACTACTTCACTTAATAGAATGGTTCCAGCTCTATCCAGGAAAATACAAAGGTGCTTATCACCGTTGTTTCTTAGAGCTGAATAGTACTCCATGGTATACATATACCACATTTTATTATCCACTCATGTACTGATGGGCACTTGGGTTGTTTCCACATCTTTGCAATTGTGAATTGTACTGCTATAAACATTCGAGTGCAGGTGTCTTTTCATAGAGTGACTTTTGTTCTTTGGGTAGATGCTCAGTAATGGATTGCTGGATCAAATGTAGATCCACTTGTATCGCTTTAAGGTATTTCCATATTGCTTTCCACAGAGGTTGAACTAGTTTGCAGTCCTACCAGCAATGTAGGATGTTTCCTATCTTTCCACATCCACGCCAACTATTTTTTGGACTTGTTAACAAAGCCATTCTCACGGCGTCGATAGTGATATACTTTTGTGTTTTGATTTGCATTTCCGTGAGATTAAGATGTTGACGCATTTTTGATATGTTTAGTTTTGTCATTATTCTGTCTTCTTTTGAAGAGTTCTGTCCTTCTCGTCAGTCCTTTTGCGCGTTGCTTCTTTGTTTTTCTGAGACAGAGTCTCACTTGTTGCCCCTCAGGCTAAAGTAGTGCCGTGGCACAGCCTAGCTCCACAGCAACCTCAAACTCCTTGGTCTTAAGCAATCCTACTGCTTGGCCCTCACCCTTCCCTGAGTAGCTGGGACTACAGCAGCGCCACGAATGGCCGCGTTATTTTTTTCCTATATATATTACGTTTGTGTTCGCCATTAATTTCTTCTCTCTTCATTTTATTAGCTATGAAGTCACAGGGTCTCGCCTCTCAGGTTGTGGTTCAAACTCACTGACCCTGAGCAGATTCTGCCTGCCTCGGCCTCCCAGAGAGCTAGGATTACAGGCGTGAGCCATTGCGCCTGGCCCTTTTGCCCACTTTTTGATAGGGTTGTTTGATTTTTCCTTGCTGATTTTCCCGAGTTCTAAATAGATTCTAGTTATCAGACCCTTATCAGATGTGTAGCTTGCGAAAATTTTCTCCCATTCTGTGGGTTGTCTGTTTGCTCTCATGACAGTTTCTTTGGCTGTGCAGAAGCTTTTAAATTTGATCAAGTCCCATTTGTTTATTTTTATTGTTGCTGTGATTGCCTTTGGGGCCTTCTTCATAAATTCTTTGCCTAGGCCAACATCTAGAAGAGTATTTCCAATGTTTTCCTCTAGAATTCTAATAGTTTCAACACCTAAGGTTTAAGTCTGTTACCCATCGTGAGTTGATTTTTGTGAGAGGTGAAAAGTGTGGATCCTGTTTCAGTCTTCTACATGTGGCTATCCAGTTTTCCCAGCACCATTTATTGAATAAGGATTCTTTTCCCCAGTGTATGTTTTTGTCTGCTTTGTCAAATATTAGATGGCTAAATGAGGATGGTTTTATATCTGGGTTCTCTGTTCTATTCCACTGGTCAATGTCCCTGTTCTTGTGCCAGTCAAAAGCTGTTTTAATTACTATAGCCTTGTAGTCTAGTTTGAAGTCTAGTAAATTGATACCTCCCATTTTGTTTTTATCACCTAGGATTGCTTTTGCTATACGGGGTCTTCTCTGGTTCCATACGAAGCGTAAAATTATTTTTTGTATATCTGTGAAAAATTATGTTGGTATTTTAATAGGGATGTAATTCACCATATAAACAGAAGCAAAAACAAAGACCATACGATCCTTTCAATAGACACAGAAAAAGCATTTGACAAAATTCAACACCCTTTTATGATAAGAACACTTACCAAAATAGGCATGGACAGGGCTTACCTAAAAATGATACAAGCCATATATGACAAACCCACAGACAACAGCATACTGAATGGGGAAAAATTGAAAGCATTCCCACTTAGAACTGGAACAAGGCAAGGTTGCCCACTATCTCCACTTCTATTCAACATAGTGCTAGAAGTTCTTGCTATAGCAATCAGACAAGAGCGGAATTCAGGGTGTCCAAATGGGAGCAAAAGAGATCAAACTCTTACTCTTTGCTGATGATATGATATTATATCTAGAAAACCCCAAGGATTCAACCAAGAGACTCCTTGAATTGATAAATGAATTCAGTAAAGTCTCAGGATACCATATCGATACACACAAATCAGAGGCATTCATATACGCCAACAACAAAGTAAGAATCAAATCAAAGACTTGATTCCCTTCAAAATAGCAACAAAGAAAATAAAGCACCTAGGAATATATTTAACTAGGAGGTAAAAGACCTCTACTGGGAGAACTATGAAACACTGAAGAAGGAAATAGCAGAGGATATAAACAGGTGGAAGACCATACCATGCTCGTGGGTTGGCAGAATCAACATTGTTAAAATGTCTATACTACCCAAGGCCAAAACTTTTTAAAAGCAGAAGAAAAGCTTGATCTATATAGGAATCATATAATGAGGTAGCAGACACTAAACACAGACAGAGGATCCTGATAAGCCCCTTTGAAGGGGATGTATTTCTTTGGGTTGATCTTCCAATGGCATTTATATTACCAATATTGAAGAATTAGAGGCACGTTAGGAATGACATGTGAGGTCTAAAGGGAATGCACCTCATTGATGTGTTGCATGTGCCCATGAAAGTGAAACATGCAAATGGGCCTAGGAAAACATGCAAATAGAAGTACTGAGTATGCAGGATTCCAAGGCAGAGCTGCAGAACAGGGGACAATTGCAGAGAAGATATCAGCAGGAAGCTGCACCCATGTGGTCACAGAGGCAGTGTTAAGAAATGTACCAGGGGCCAGATGCTCACCCCTCAAAGTCTTCCTGGACTTCCTGGCTCAAGATACTCATGAGGTGGTGCTGACTGCATCCCAACTCACACCTGGAGGGGCTCTCCATTCTTGCAAGATCCCAACTCAATAGAGATCTACAGAAAGAACTCAACTCACTTGGTTACCCTGAACCTCAGTGTCATGAAATCTTATGGAGTCATCATGCCCATGGCTTTGAGTGGCTTTGAATCCTTAAGGAAAACAAGCTGATGAGAGTCTAAAATATGGTTGGATAGGATGAATGAGCTTTTGGCTGGAATGCTAGCTATATAGAGACATTCATAATATTCCATTATTTTCTAACCTGACTGTATCAACAAAGATCTCCTCAATTAGATTTAATTGCTGGCCTGTACAAAGTTTTCCTTTTCAAGAAAATCCTACTGTAACATCATCTTATACTCCATGAAAAATGGTAAACTGCATGTACAAATAGCCAGGTGACATTTGAATTGACACTGCCAAGAGCATCCGTGTGATAGAAAGCTACCTGGAGGACCAAAGAATCATCGTTAGTTAAAATCTTGGGAAGTGACAATGGAAAGTGTCTCTACCTGTTGTCCAACTTAATCTCCTATGAAAAAACTGTAATGCAGGCAAATTGTCCAGTTTGTCGAGAGAAGTTCAGATGCCAGAGTGAATTCTGATGTATCTAGTATTCATCCTTCTAGAGCGAGTGGCTATATTTATGATGACAAAGGACAGAGGAGCTTGCTTATATGGAATGCAAATCCTAGATCTGGAAACATTTTTGATGGAAGAAAACAGGAAATGTGAAAATTGCTATAAGCTATATTCTCAGCTAACGGTTGGAAAGTACCTGATATTTCCAAACTGGGATCTGGTAAGGAAGATCATAATTCTTCTGGTGGAGATTCAAATCAAAGAGCAATCATTAATGATCTAGACTATAGGAAATAATCTAGACCAGTGGTTCCCAAAGTGTGGTCCTTAGACCAGCAGCAGCAGCAGCACCTGGGAGCCTGCGAGATGTGCACAGTCTCGGGCCTCACCCCAGATCTTATGCATCAGAATCTGCATTTCAAGGAAATCCCCAGGTGACTGATATGCGTGTTAAAGCTTAAGAAGCACTGATTTAGAGAGACTGTTCCTAAAATGATTAAACCAAGCATTCCACTTAAGATATGGGGGCGGTTTCACTAAATGTAACTGGTGAGTGAAATGAGACCTCTCCCCACTGGAAACCATTTTAGAAGATTCAAGATTGGGGCCTTGTCACATTAACAGTGTACATTCTGGGGTCAGACAGGTTGGTTAAAATCTGACCTAGTTCTACTTCTGAGTAGCTGTGTGACCTTCTGCTAGCCAATCTGTCTATGCACAGCATCAGCTACTACTGTATAAAGTTCTTGCTGCTTTACAGTTTTAAAAATTCAGTGAGATTAATCTCTTTCAAATTTAGCTCGGTGCCTGGCACATGTAAAACTAAATAATTACAATGATCTTTAATATTCTCCCAAGCATACAAATGATCAATATGGGCTCAGAAAATGTTCTCTTGCTGTAGGGATATAATATGATTGTCTTTCAAATTTTGGATATGAAGCATTTGAGAAGCTCACCTTTTTCCTCTGGCATCTATAGTTGCTGTTAATGCCCATGGTGGAATTGGAACTGCGGCAATGAGAAAGGCGAACCCACCTACTCCCATTCTGGAGAACAGGCAAATAACCTCACTATTTAGTGGGGTTTTTGAAATACATACCCTATGTCCCTTCACCTCCTCTAACACAAGTCTTTCGAATTTGCACTTGGATTGCCTCCCGATATTACAAAGCAGAGTTTAAGTTTGTTCAATCGTGTGCTTATGCCCAGATAGATGTGGCAGTTCAACATTTTCACGGTAAAAACAAGCCTTGCTGGTTATTTCCTTGTTATGGAAAATACAAGGCAACACTCGGGTTGTATGTAAATGCCCTTTGGTTATAAGTGAATACTTAAAACCACAACATGTAAAATCCCTGAGGTCATGTCAATGATGGCAAGCCTTGCCACCTCCCACTATGCCACCGTCAATTAAAAAGAAAAAGAAAAGGACAAAATGCTAGGGATGAGACAGGAGGGAGAGATAGTGTGTTTATGGAAGGGGATAAGACACCCAGCCCTTGGTTACCTTCACAGAGCAGAAGTGCCTGCTCCACACTGCTTTTTGGAGCCGCCAGATCAAGTGCACGTTTGCCCTGAGCATTTCTGAGCTTCAGGTTAGCCCCATAGTCGGTCAGCAGGTGGATGACCTCCACGCTGGACTGCCTCGCTGCGGCGTGCAGGGGGGTGTCCAGCCATTGGCCGTGATCAATACTGGCTCCTTAACAAAAGACATGGCCACATTTCAACATGGAATGTTAATGTAAAACACGAAGAGCCACAAACGTGCAGTGCTATGATATATTTGACAAATCTTTGAAAATATGACTTAAGCCTAGAACCTCTGCAATGCCTACTAAGACCATTTTAAAATATATATATATATATATATTTTTTTTGAGACAGAGTCTTGCTTTGTTTGCTCAGGCTAGAGTGAGTGCCGTGGCGTCAGCCTAGCTCACAGCAACCTCAAACTCCTGGGCTTAAGCAATCCTACTGCCTCAGCCTCCCGAGTAGCTGGGACTACAGGCACGTGCCACCATGCCCGGCTAATTTTTATATATATATTAGTTGGCCAATTAATATAGAATGGTTCCAGCTCTATCCAGGAAAATACAAGAGGTGCTATATCACCGTTGTTTCTTAGAGCTGAATAGTACTCCATGGTATACATATACCACATTTTATTATCCACTCATGTACTGATGGGCACTTGGGTTGTTTCCACATCTTTGCAATTGTGAATTGTACTGCTATAAACATTCGAGTGCAGGTGTCTTTTTCATAGAGTGACTTTTGTTCTTTTGGGTAGATGCTCAGTAATGGGATTGCTGGATCAAATGGTAGATCCACTTGTATCGCTTTAAGGTATTTCCATATTGCTTTCCACAGAGGTTGAACTAGTTTGCAGTCCTACCAGCAATGTAGGAGTGTTCCTATCTTTCCACATCCACGCCAACATTTATTGTTTTGGGACTTGTTAACAAAGGCCATTCTCACTGGCGATAAGTGATATACCATTGTGGTTTTGATTTGCATTTCCCTGATGATTAGAGATGTTGAGCATTTTTTGATATGTTTATTGTCCATTATTCTGTCTTCTTTGAAAGTTCTGTCATGTCCTTGCCCACTTATATATAGCACACACATACACAAAGACAGAGAAATTAAAATTATAGGAGAAATTTATTCAAGGAAGGAAAATGGGGCAGAAGTGAGGAACTAAATCAGGAACATGTCTTAGAACATTCATTATAATCTTATCCACCTGAATTTACATGTGTCTACATGATATGTTGACCCTTAGGTATGGGAAGATCCTGAATCATCAAAAAATAGCCTATCATTTTCACTCTACTTCATGGGTTTTTAAGGTTTCTTAACAAAAAGAAGTAAAAACCAAAAGGTTTCTAATTGTCCCTTGAGTGGTAAGAACATTAAATTACCCAGGAGTTTCCACTCCTCAAGTATTCCCGATTATCAGGGATTGACTCTAACTGGCTGAGCGTGTTTGAAGATATTGAGAGTCTAGCTACTACACATCTACACTAGGTACCCTGGGTACAACAGACAACAACCTATTTCCAAGGATTTTTTTCAGGAGCAGTTGGGATTATTGGTATAGGAGGAATCTTTCGAGTGGCTCTGGCAGACATAGCTTGTGGACAGCTTGATGACATGCTCGGCCCAGGCACTTCCGGACACAGAGGCGGCAGAGCTGGGAAAGAGTAGCCGGGCCTGTAGGAGGAATAAAAATGGTGTGAACTTCATATTGGTGGGGTGGGGTGGTGGGTAGAAATGGGAGATCAGAAAACTGGAAGAGGCCAAAACTTTTTATAATTTTTTTTCAAGCAGTGTAAAGTCTTTTGGAAGAGCAGGTATGGAAACAGATTCAAGTGGAAGACATTTAATCTGGGAGGCCGAACATCAGAGTCATTCTAAAAGGATATTAAGAGTGATCACTTGTGTAAAGACGGACATACAGACCAATGGAATAGAATTGAGAGCCCAGAAATAAGCCTCACATATATGGTCAAATGATTTTTGGGTTTTTTCTTTTCAGCATATTATGGGGGTACAAATGTTAAGGTTACATATATTGCCCTTGTCCCCCCTCCCCCCTCAAGTCAGAGCTTCAAGCGTGTCCATCCCCCAGATGGTGCACATCGCACTCATTATGTGTGTATATACCCATCCCCTCCCCCCCACCTGCTCAACACCCGATAAATGTTATTCCTGTATGTCTACTTAGGTGTTGATCAGTTAATATCAATTTGCTAGTGAGTACATGTGGTGCTTATTTTTCAATTCTTGGGATACTTCACTTAATTGAAGCAGACAAAAACAACCACCTGGGAAAAGAATCCTTATTCAATAAATGGTGGCTGGGAAATACCTGGATACCCACATGTAGAAGACTGAAACAGGAGCCATACATTTCACCTCTCACAAATCAACGTCACGATGGTAACCAGACTCCTCCTCTGTGAAACCCTTTAGGTTTCTGAAGACTAGTTCAGGGACTTTCTAGTTAGGAATAATCATGGAATTTACTCTTCTAGTGATTTGCCCTATGCCAAGAATTTATGAAACGAGGCCACAGCATCCAGTCAACAATAAATAAAATATACGGTAATATTGGAATATGACTAAATTATAAAAGCTTTGTCATCCGTCGATGTCATATGGAGCAATAAAAAAGACACAAAAAAAATAACCAGAACACACAACGTATGAGAAAGAAATATTGCTAATAAGCTATACACACATATGAATAATGGGTTCTGAATAACTACAGAATCTATTTAAGAACTCGGGAAATCAGCAAGGAAATCAACACCCTATCAAAAGTGGGCAAAGGCCAGGCGCAATGGCTCACGCCTGTAATCCTAGCTCTCTGGGAGGCCGAGGTGGCAGATTGTCAAGGTCAGGAGTTCGAACAACCTGAGCAAGAGCGAGACCCCGTCTCTACTATAAATAGAAAGAAATTAATTGGCCAACTAATATATATAGAAAAAATGAGCCGGGCATCGTGGCGCATGCTGTAGTCCCAGCTACTCGGGAGGCTGAGGCAGGAGGATTGCTTGAGCCCAGGAGTTTGAGGTTGCTGTGAGCTAGGCTGACGCCACGGCACTCACTATAGCCTGGGCAACAAAGTGAGACTCTGTCTCAAAAAAAAAAAAAGTGGGCAAAGGACATGAACAGAACTTTTCCAAAGAAGACAGAATAATGGACAATAAACATATCAAAAAATGCTCAACATCTCTAATCATCAGGGAAATGCAAATCAAAACCACAATGGTATATCACTTATCGCCAGTGAGAATGGCCTTTGTTAACAAGTCCAAAACAATAAATGTTGGCGTGGATGTGGAAAGATAGGAACACTCCTACATTGCTGGTAGGACTGCAAACTAGTTCAACCTCTGTGGAAAGCAATATGGAAATACCTTAAAGCGATACAAGTGGATCTACATTTGATCCAGCAATCCATTACTGAGCATCTACCCAAAAGAACAAAAGTCACTCTATGAAAAAGACACCTGCACTCGAATGTTTATAGCAGTACAATTCACAATTGCAAAGATGTGGAAACAACCCAAGTGCCCATCAGTACATGAGTGGATTAATAAAATGTGGTATATGTATACCATGGAGTACTATTCAGCTCTAAGAAACAACGGTGATATAGCACCTCTTGTATTTTCCTGGATAGAGCTGGAACCATTCTAT